GGATAGAGCTCACCAAAGTTTGCAAATGAAAATGACCTCAACCTACTTTAGAGGTCACAGAGGTCAACAACATTTTAATGGATTTGTTCTTGAGAACTAAAAGGAATGGATTCATAAGATTTGGCTTGTAGCATTTTGGAATAGAGCTAACCAATTTGAGAAGGAAAATGACATTGACCTACTTACAAGGTCACAGGGAAAAATATGTCAAGCAACTTCTGAAGAAGAATCAAAAAGCATAGAATCTTATTTTGCTGGTAGTTTCAACAGATGGAGCCAACAAAGTTTGCGAGGGAAATATTTTTAGTGCAATATAATATTTAATGAGAATATTTTGCTATAACTGCTTAAATATTCAGGTGAGCGATACAGGCCCTCTTGGGCCTCTTGTTACCATTTTACGATATCAAAGGCGATGTTCTAGGTTATTGCTATTTTCCTACGATCAATGTTAGCTGCTGATCACAATCATGCATGTAAGACATGACCCAGCGTTTAAAATGTCCAGCAAAAATCCCCTAGGCCTACTGTAGCCTACATGTTTGCTGACGTTGCAGACGCGGAACAGTTCTCGTTTCTTCAATATTTACTTTCGTCATTTTTGTTTGTTTTGTTTCTACATTTAATTAAATTAAGATTTTGGTGTGTGTGAAGCCTCTTTATGTGTTTGTGGTAATCTCTTATCTGTGATACTTTGTTTACGTCTAAAAAAAGCAACAGTAATCCCGAGTTTGAGGAGACCTCACTACACGTGCGACTAGACTACTGTAGCGTAGCTGAGCATTACAAAGGTTATAGGGTCAATTACAACGATGACTGTAAATGAGTCATTATCAGAAATTGTTACATTTTTTGGAAAAGGAAAACTCAAAACAAAGGTGATGTTACTGCATTTCTTTTTCATTTACAGTATAAACACATCAAACGAATTTTAATAAACATTTAAAGTGTTATTTCCTAAAAATTGTTGTTTTGGTAGGTAGAACCAAAAAATACCACTCATATTTACAAAAATTCCATCCTGTTACCATTAAAAACTGATTCGTCAATGGTGAGATACTGAGACGGTGTGTAGTGTTGTTAAAATAGCATGTTCACATGTTGGACAAAATGTTTCAATTTGTCACATGGGTTGTAGTTGTCTTCTGTCCGTTTGGGTATTTTCGCCTTATCTACGGTATGGAGGTATTTCAAAATGTTTTGAAACCAGTTTCTCGCCATAACGGACCGAACAAATGGTGTTAGTTGACTTGTTTTCGTTGACCAGCAGGAATGAATAGATGACTTCTAAAAGTTTTCCCTGAATATTTTGCTATATCAAGCTATGAAAATACTTCATATTATACAATAAAAGGCTAAGAAAGTGCGAACATCGTAGTTGACTCCGTTTCCGAGATATTGTGATTTATCTGAAAACACACCTTTGACTCATACGGGTAGCTCACATCTGTGACGTCACAAGTTCAACGCTGTCAAAACAGCCCTATTATGGAACATACCGTGAAGCTTTGATTGTGCGTTCGTTATGTGAGCTTTTAGCTACTTATATGATATATTCCGTCGTCACTTGCTTGTGTAGATAATATTTATATACAACATGCATATAAATGATTTTTTTACAATTTAAATGAAGAAATTAGTTCCTCCTGAGGAGGCAAACGGTGAAAAACTATATGAATATGGGTTTTTTTGTTTTTTTTTACATAATTGGTTAATCTAGTGACTGTAAATAATATACTCTATATTATTAAATTGATCTTTAGAAAATTTGATGAACACCTATATACAACACAAAACAAGTGATTAAAAATTGAGTTAAATTAACGTAGGTGCACCGCACCCCTTTCTTTGCAATATATAGATTGACCAAAACAAATCACACTGGTACAATAATTTATGCTAACAAAAATTCAACGGAAGTGGATGTGTCGCCTGCGCAGGAAGCTGGGAGATTACGAAGAAATAGATACACTTTTTATTTCAAGAAATAATGTTAAAAGTAAGCAATAATCATAGATTTGTTTTTGGATGGCATCATTTTGTTATATAATCTGTTATTCTGGGAAGAATTAAGGAACTTGCTATCTATGTATAGTAACAGTGACCTTGACCTTTGACCTTCGGACCTGAAAAGCAATCCCAACCAAACACTTTTGGTAAGGAAGCACTGCATGTTGTTTGAGTTTGATCGGCCCAAGGAAACTCAAGTTATCGCACGAAAACAGATTTTCTATTTATAGTAACAGTGACCTTGACCTTTGACCTTCGGACCTGAAAAGCAATCCCAAGCAGGCACTTTTGGTAAGGAAGCACTGCATGAAGTTTGAGTTTGATCGGCCCAAGGAAACTCAGGTTATCGCACGAAAACCTCTGTGCGGACGCCGTCGACATAGCAATACCTATGTGTCACCAGCTTTTCGCAGGCGACACAAAAATGAGC